GAGGAGGAGGAGGAGGAGGACCCCTACCCCTCCCAGTTATGGTGGTGGTGGTGGTGGAAATTAGGCCCTTCATGCTCGTTTCCCTGCACGTTCTCCGAATGTCGACGTCGCGCAAAAAAACAACACGGCGCCGAGGCACGAACCACGACGGGAACTCCTGGCGCATGGAACAACGATCAGAGCGGCGGCGTCGACGTCGAAAGCGACGGCGGCTTTCGGAGGCGGCGAATGGGGGGCAGGGGAAGGGTGACCTTCTCATGGTGGATGGCGGCGGCCTCTCGGGAAGAGCTCCTCCCCACAACAGCGCTCGAGCCCAGGCCTTGTGCACAGCATCCACCGCCTCGGGAAGCGATGCACCTGGGCCCCAGGAGGCAGGGGAGATAAAATCTTTGAGGTCCCCAGGACACGAAACCATCTCGACCCACCGAGACCATGCCTACGCACTGCCTCCTGGGGCCCTCGGGCATCGGCTCCCGAGGCGGATCTGTACCAGCTCTTGCGCGGGGGAACACAGAAAAACTGCCCGCACACCGTCTGCAACTCAAACCCACAGTCTATAGCTAAACGCCCCAAGTGAGGATGCAAGGCCCCTTGCGGCCCATGTTGAGAGAGACGCTGCAGCGTGACACAAAAACACCAGGACGCAGGTCCTCCTAAGCCCACGATTCAACGGACGAAGAGCCCTTCTTGTGAACAGAAACGTTCCTTCGCGCATGCGGTTTCTGAGTGGAGGCAACAACATGATGCGTGAACGTTACCCCTGATTGTCAGATTTCTGAAACAGAAATGACCAGGGCTCAGAATGTCGCCATCGTTCGGACGCCCATTCCCTGTGATGTTTTCGGTTTCGTGCGTGGCATTTCGCCAAATGATTAAGGATGCTCCTCGATGGTCCTCGCAAAAGGAAAAATGCACACGTCCGAGTGATGCCAAGGAATTTGAAGGATGCCCGCGGCCAGGTGAACCCCAGCGGGGATGCCCGAAATCCCAGCGGCGAGCGGACCCGCAGGGGCAGGGTGCGCAAGCGGCCGCATAGAATGCAAGGCGGTGGCGGGGGCCAAGCCTTCTCTGAAGGCAACCACCAAAACACCCCGCCCCACGTCAAGAAATAATGACATAAACATAAAACAACTCGGAGGTCCGCGCGGAGTTCTCGGATCGGCGCCTCCGGCGCCGCAGCTGACGCGCTCCGCGCGCCAGGGAGGGGGGTCTAGCGCCGATCCGAGCGATCCACGCGGACCTCCGGGTTTTGATGTTTCTGCCACGTCGATGGGCCTGTTTTCCACCACCACCACCACCACCACCATAACGTGGAGGGGGAAGGAGGTGGAGGAGGAGGAGGAGGAGGAGGAGGAGGAGGAGGAGGAGGAACAGGAGGAGGAGCGAGGACGGAGGAGGTGAGGGAGGAGGAGGAGGAGGAGAAAGTGGAGGTGGATGGAGGAGGGGAGGAGGAGGAGGGGGAGGAGGAGGAGGAGGAGGAGGAGGAGGAGGAGGAGGAGGACCTCATACCCTTCCAGTTATGGTGGTGGTGGTGGGTGGAAAACGAGCCCGTCATGCTCGTTTCGCTGCACGTTCTCCGAGCGTCGACGTCGCCTCCCCCCACCCCCCAAAAAAAGGCGCCGAGGCATTCTTTTTACAATCCAGCGGGGGCCTAGCGGCAACAACGGGTGACGAGCAGACGCGGAAAAGCCGGAAAAGGAGGCGGCGGAGGGGGAGGAGGAACGAGGAGGGCAAAAAGCGCGCCCGGCGAGCGCGCGCGAGAACGGCTGCCCATGGCAGCCGCCGCGAAGCTAATTCCACCTAATTAGCCCGGCGCCGCCGCACCCCCAGTCGGGGGGGGCCCGGGCGCGCCGCCAAACGCTGCCTCAAGACCCCGCGCCAGGCAGCCTCGGCGCCGCCAGCCCGCGCGGGCGGGAGCAGCATCGGCGCGGCCGCCTTCAGCGGCAGGATGGGCACCCAGCCGGCGCACGGGCGACTCGCGAGGCGCGCCCTATGGGGGGCCCAGCAGCCGCAGCGCAAACAGGCGACCCAATTGAGCCCCTGCGACGCCGCGTGCGCCCTCCACGTCCCGCCACCGAAAAGCGCCCGGGCAGCAGCCGCCGGCCCAGGCCGCGGCGCGACGCCCAAGCCCCCTCTGCTGCTGCGGGTCCTGCCGCGCCAGCGCGGCGGCTACGGCAGCGTCATCGGCCACGCGCGGCGTTCTGCGGCGCGGGGGCCCTCCCTGGCGGCGACGCACGCGAGGCCCCTCCGGGCCGCGGCTGCCATGGTTGGCCTTGACGGCCTCGAGCTCGACGGCGGCCAGCATCGACTGCAGCACCCTGAGGGCGTAGAGCTGCACGAACCGCCGTTGCAGCAGGGCCGCCGCCGGCAGGCGGGCCTTGGCAGTAGTGCCAGCCAGCCTGTCGGCTGCCGCGTTGCCGTGGCGGTCCTCGGCTGTCACGCCGCGCCGCCACCGCCCCCTCGTCATCGAGGTGCCCCTTCACCCAGCGCGCGATGACGAAACTGGTCCTGCAGTGAGGCGCCAAGCGCTCCCACAAGTCCGCATGCGCCCCGTCCCAGGCCGAGGCTCCCTGGCGGATTGCCGCGATGCCATGGGCCACGAGTTCGGAATCCGTGATGACCTCGACTGGCTGGCCGGCCTCGCTGACCGCGCGCAAAGCAGCGGTCAACTCCGCGCGTTGTGCGGTTTGCGTCCCGTCCACGGGCCCACAATGCTCCGTGCGCGTCGTGCCATGGGCCGCCGGGCGCTCCAGCTGTAAGCTCCATCCCGAGCGCGCCAGCAGCGGGTCCGTGGGGTGCTCGCACGCTCCAGCCGTCCAAACCCTGCAGCGCGGCGGCTGGTCCGGCTGAGCCACGGCGGGCTCCGGCATCGGCGGCGCCGGCATTGGCGCGCTTGCCACCGCAGCCTCCGCCGCCAGCTGGGGGTCCAGAGGGAGGACGGCCGAATGAGCCACCCCCGGCGGCAGCCGGGCCAGCAGGGCGGCGGGCGAGAACCCCCCTGCTGCGAGCGCCGCGCGGCGGGAACTCCTGGCGGATCCTGCGCACCACCTCGCGAGCGGCGTCGGCCTCTGTGCGCGCCGTGGGCCGTGGCCAAAAAGTCGCGCGCCCGCCGGGAGGGCCGCAGCGCCGATCCGCGAGGTCGGCGCGGAGCGCTAAAAGTCCATGTCTCTGCCGCTCCTCCGTCGAGAATAAGGAGCCGAACTCTATACTCTGTGTCCCTCAATACTTTTGGGGCCCCGGACTACAGGTACCCCCCGGACTACAAGTACCCCTCCCCTGGACTATAGGTCCCCTCGGGCTGCACCCTTACAGTACCCCCTCCGGCCCTGGGTACCCGCCCCTCCTACATTACGGACTACAAGTACCCCCCCCCCCCGGACAATAGGTACCCCCCCGGACTACAGGTACCCCCCTAGCCCCCGGAACTACAAGCCCCCCCGCATTCGCTACGTAGTCTCTGGAAGCCAAAGCGGCCCGCCAAGATGCGTCCGCACGTTTTTACTTAGGCGTGCTAAGAAATTCGCCATCGTTGGGCCAGCGGTCGGGGCTGAGCACTCTCGACGGACGAGTGGGCGCGGAAACGAGAGATAACGAGGAACGGAACGATACATCTACAAAGAAACAGAAAAATAAGCAGGGGAACGGACGAACAAAGAGAGAGAGAGAGAGATAGGAAGAGAAAAACTACAGACACATAATGATTGTCGGAATGACAGGAAGAGAGGTCCCGCGCGTGTAAGTACTAAGCACCCGCGTGCGTGGAACCACGCGTGCTTTGAGGCATGACCATAGTATGCCCACCCCTCCCCCATGGTTACATGGTTACCCCCCCTGGGTCTACAGGTTCCCCCCACTCAGGTAGTTCTTGTTCCCCACATCAGGACTTAACTGGTGTTTCCCACTTAACGGGACGTATAGGTCCAGCCCCCGGACTATAGGTACCCCCCCCCCGGACTACAGGTACCCCCAGAACTATTTAGGGACACAGAGTACACCGACGCCTTTGTCTGGCCTCGCACTGGCTTTCGCACAGGAGGGCGGGTCCTGGTGCATACGGGATCCTGGTGTATACATTCTTCGTCGCTTACCCCGGAAAAACGGGGCAGCAAGTGTACACCACACCACCCCGACGTCGTCCCCGACCCTCAAAGAAGTCCTGGGATTGAAAAACCGCCCGCCACTGGTAATGTATATGCTCCAGTTTCTGAGAGAACGCGTTTGAAAACATTGGGCTGGGTGAGGCTGTTGGAGTTGCTTGGCCGCATAGCGCCCAACTGGCTGCAGGCGTTTCCTTAGCCGTCTGGGCCCAAAGCACTCAGCAGGCGGGTCTGCATCGCCCCTTCCACAGAATGGAAGGCCTAGCGCGCCTTTTTGACACGTGGTGCATGCAGATCGCGCCACGGCGCCGACAAAGCATTGCCATCGCCATCGGATAGGGCCGCATCAGTACAGCGCCGGGATCCAATCGGAACGGCTGCGCCAGGACGAGCAAAGACAGCACATCGTACTTAAGGACCTCATCCCAAAAACAATTGCGAGCACCCGGAAAAGTATCGAAACCGAGTCGCACGAACATCGCCTCCCAGGGCCCAACACGTGAACACCCTCTGGTACGTGAACACCCTCCGGTTTCGGTGCATTCTTGGTGCTCGAGATTATTTCTGGCGATCGAGGCTGAATGAAGGGGCCCTGGGACACAGAAATAATTACACACAAATAACAGGATCCCCCATATGTTCCCATGTTTCCTAAGCTTTTGCCTTCCCCCCCCAATTCCCATATTTTCCCATTTTTTCGGGGGGATCGACGACTGATTGTGTCTGTGTGTTTCTCTCCCTCCTGACTGAAGCAGGCTGGGACATCATACGCATCGGGCCGCGTCGGACCGCCGGAGCAGCGGAGTCGCGCCAGAACGTGCCGGCTCGGATGGACGTCGCACCGAATCCACTGGGCCAGAGCGCAGTGGACCCCCGGGGGAAAATGGAGGGATGGCCGAAGAAGGAAGACAGTACAAGATACACTTCGGTCGGGCCTGTCCCCCTACAGGGGGATCTTGGAAGAAAAAAACCCAAAACCAAACCCAAACATGCCCCCCCAATAATCAAAGGTAATAGAAGAATCATCCCCTGATTTTTTAAACTATTTTTGAACATTCCCCCTGTAGAGGGACAGGCCCGACTTGATAAAACATACGCTGTCGGAGGTCCGCGCGGATGTCCTGAAACGGAGCTGGACCTCCCTGCCGGCGCCTCCAGCGCCGCCCATGGCGCTTTCCGCGCGCCAGAGAGGGGGGTCCAACGCCGATCCGAAAAATCCGCGCGGGCCTCCGAAAATGCATGTTCTAGTTCCTTGCCATCCTTGGAGCGGAGGAGCAGGGTCAACCAGCATCAGATCGGGAAGCAGGATCGGCTCGAGATGTGCGTCGGATCGGGCTGCATCAGCACGGGGTCGGAGCCGAACCGGATCGGCCGCGCCAGGACGCACAACAGCTGAACGCAAGCATCGGGCCGCGACGAATCGCCCGAACATCGACATCAGCTCGGGTCGAGCCAGGCGAGATCGGCACAGTCGAGACTGAAGGGGCCCTGGGACACACACACACACACACATAAATAGACACCAATAACATAACCAACCAGGTTTTCCCATATTTTCTGGGTTTTCTCTTTCCGCCCACTTCCCATAGTTTCCCATAGTTTCCCATATTTCCCTGGGGATCGACGATTGATTGTGCCTGTGTGTTTCTCTCCCTCCTGAGAGGCACGGTCACAGGGAAGTGGATCGAGAACGTGGGCCCCTTCGCCGAGAGCCCCAAGGGCCCCGTGGAGATGTCCAAAACAGGGCTGGACCTAAACGGTGCTTTTCGTTGTCGTTTTGTTTGAAGGGGCCCAAGGACACACCAATAAATACACACAAATAACAGGATGCCCCATATTTGCCTAAATTTTCCAGGTTTCTGTCTCTCTCCCCACTTCCCACATTTTCCTATATTTTGTGGGGGTCGACGATGAATTGTGTCTGTGTGCTTTTTCCCCTCCTGATTGTTTTCGGTTTCCCTCGTTTTGTCTTCAATCCACCTCTACCGCAAAGCGAAGTCGAAGCGAAAACGGTCCACGAGATCGCAAAAACACACACACACACACACACACTTCAGGTCCAGCCCTGATTCAAAACGAAGAGCACTTAAAGGTGGAGAGCCCCACGGCGAAGAGCATCAGGGTACCCCTCCACAACTGCGATGTTGCTCACAGTGTCCAACGGCAAAGTATACGAGACCTATGCTGCATCACAGTAGCAATTCGGCCCCTGACGTTCGTCCTGGGTTCGGTTTAATGAGGTGATGAATTTCGGAGTCCTTACGTGTGGGCCCTGGGGCCCAACATTGCTGACGTGATGGTTTTCGGGCCTCGAAAATTAAGCCAATCAAGCAAAAATCCCCAGACACCCCCTCGGACAACCCAGACAACCCATGCTGACGAATGACAAGAGGACGGCCTACCCCAGACAACCTCTTGGACAACCTAGCGGGGACCTGGACAACCTCATCGGACAACCCCCCTTGGACAAGCCATCCCGGTGTGTTCTTTCATAAGAAATAATCACCCTCGTGCCAACTATAGCGATTCGGATCGACCGTTCGGCAATGGGCCATGAGCACAAGAAGCAAAAACAGCTAAACATTCACTTTTGGCGCTCCGTGCGGATTTCGTGGCTCTGCGCTGGACCCCCCTCCCTGGCCCGCGCAGCGCGCCAGGGGCGGCGCCAGAGGCGCCGCCGGGGGGGGCCCAGCGCGGATCCAAGACATCCGCGCGGAGCGCCAGAAGTTTATGTTTATGCAGTTGTTTCTTCTTCGAGTGAGGGGAGCGGGGAGGTCCTCGCCTTAGGCCGGGCATGTCCCCCTACAGGCGGGCTTTGGACGAAACATGATACAACAAAAACTCTAAACATGTTCAACAATAGTCAAAACATCGTCCCCTGACTATTTTTTTGACAATTTTTGAATATTCTCTCTGTAGATAGACAGGCCCGACTTAATCCTCGCCCCAGCGCTCGCCCCTGCCTCTCGGGCCGCTCGGGACGAGATGGGCAAACCCCAGCAGCGCCCGCTGCCAGGCGCGGCCGCTGGGGGGCTTCCCGAGGCTCGAACAGCCCGCCGAGGAGCCGACGAGGACGCCCGACGACCTCAAGAGCAGGACGTGCAGTGTCCTGATGTTTCGCCAGCGCGGGGCCCCCGGAACTCCTGGCCCTTTCCCCGAGGACGGCCCTGCTTTGACGCTCCCGGGGCCCGGCGAGGGCCCCCAGAGGCCGAACACTGTCAGAAGCCTCGCGCTCGAAAATCTCCGAGCTCGAACCCGAAGCGTCCCCCTCCCCCCCCCCCACCCTGACCCTCCAGAGTGCTCAGAAGTGACCCTCCAGACCTACAGACCTTTCTGGACTGCCTAAGACCCTGACTGGAGCTCAGGTGTCGAGATGCTGGTGCTATTCCGTAGCTCTCCTGGAAGGTCATACGCAGAAGGCATCTTATCCACCACCACTGCGCCAGGGCCAGGGCCATCCTGGCCCTGGCATGGTGCACACGCCATCCTGGCCGAGGCCAGGAGGGTCTATACACCATCCTGGGGCCCAGGATGGCCCTGGGGAATCTCTTGGGATATCTCCTAGGCGTTTCTTGGGTGCATCTTGGAGCGTCTTGGGGGTCTCTCGGCGGTCCAGGGGAACTCTTTGGCGTCTCGGGTGCCTCTGGGGGGCCTCTGAGGGCCGCTTGGGATCCCCTTGGGTGCCTCTTGGTGGCACCTTGGGGCCATATGGGTGCCTCTTGGGGCTTCTTGGGGGCACGGTGGTGGTGCAACTATAAATGCCCTCGTCGGAGGTCAGGGACCCCCCGCGCCGCGCTCCGGATTTTCTGTTCGACTCGGCTATAGGCGCCGTGCCGGACTTCGTCGTGGCAGCGCGTAGTGTCTCGGAGCTTCAGTCCCGTCTGCAGGCCCTTGTGCGTTCCCGCGCAGATCGCTCTGAAGACTGGCCAGGATTTTTGTTCACCGCGCCTCCCGGTTGCTCCTCCCTCCCTCCGTGGCTGCCCCCCGAGAGGGGCGGCTCCTCGCCCTCGCGATCGCCCCTCCGCCGGGCCCCGCGGCCGCCGACCTCGCCGGCGCCGACGGGCTCGGCCGCCTGGCCCTGCCTCGCCCTGTCCTGCGGGAGGGGGAAGGTACACTCAGATTGAGGGCTCCGCCTCCTCCTCCTCCTCCTCCTCCTCCTCCTCCTCCTCCTCCCCCTCCTCCTCTTCCTCCTCCTCCTCCTCGTCTTACCTTCTCCTCTTACCTCCTCCTCTTGCCTCCTCCTCTCTCTCCTCCACCACCCTCTCCCCCTCTCGCCTTCCTCCTCCCCACTCCTCCCCATCTTCCCCCTCTCCCTCTTCCTCATCCTCCTCCCCATCTGTCCCGTGTGTGCGTGGCACCGAACTCCTGGGCGCCCAACGTGGCGCCGAGGGCCTCATAGTGCTAATGTTGAGGGCTGGAGCTTCGCGGCAACAAACAAATCCTCCTCCTCCTCCTCCTCCTCCTCCTCCTCCTCCTCCTCGTCGTCCTGTTTCCGCCATCCTGGAGCGGGCAGTCTGGGGCTCGTGGAATCGGATCTTCGAAGCTCGTGGACAAGACTGTCGAAACTCGCTGGTTTGAGGATAACGTTTGTGTAACTAGTTCGCTCTTTCCGGGGCGCTCTCGTTGCCACGGCTGGATTTCCAGCGAGACCATGCACAACACGCACCCCAGGACAGGCCAAGGGGTCGAGAAGGAAGACTAAGACCTCCAGAGACTCGAAAGGCTCGAGGGCTCGCAGGTCCCGGGCTCGAGCCACCATGGGCCAGCTGGGGCGGCTGCGGCTCGATCCGCCTTTGAATTTCTGGCCAGAACGCACCCCAAGTCTGGCCTGGTCTGGGGGGATTCTTCAGGAGCTGAACGCATCGGTCGGAAGAAGTAGGTAGGAAGATGAAGTAGGAAGGCGTTGACAGTAGACTGGGCTTTCGCGCGCCCCCTGAAGAGGAGGGAGGAGGGGAAGCCACTCGATCATTGAAGTAGGAAGGCGCCTAAAGCAGATTTGAATCTGGGAATCCGAACATACCTACTTTCAACGACCGATGGGCACGCCAGCCTACAGACCCGCCCGTCGCAAAGAACACATCGCGACGCCCAACTTCACACTCTCGGCCTCCAGAAGCCGCCTCCCGCCCCTGCGGCCGTCGGACAGCGACTTGGGACGGAGAGCCGTTTCCTGAGGAGGGGTCGGGATCCGCGGGGGAGCCACGCCACGAACTGGTGCAGCGTGGGAGGGCATCCTGGGCCGAAGGGTCGGTGCAACTGCACGCCGTGGATCTGGCGGCCAGCGCGGGGAGGGGGAAGTGCGAAGGGGCCGGCCTCCTCAGAAAGCTCGGATGCCCCCGCGGCCTTCTCGGGGGTCTTCCTCGGGCCTTCCCCGAAGACGCAGCGAAAGGCTTCCCTGAAGGCGCGAGGATGCCTCTTGGGCCGTCTTGAGCCATCTTGCGGCAATCTTAGAACGTCTTGGGTGCATCTTGGGCCGTCTTGGAGGCATCTGAGGCCATCTTAGCCGTCTTGGAGGCCATCTTGGCCATCTGGGATGCATCTCGGAGGCCATCTCGGAGGCCGTCTTGGAGCCGTCTGGAGAGAGAGAGAGAGAGAGAGAGAAAACAAAAAAAAAAAAACCTTGCAACCACCTCTGGGCAATCCTCCCGGGACCCCGGCGGGACGTGCCGGAGCCCCAGGGGGGGTTCTCCTTTTGGACAACCCTCCTCCTCCTCCTCCTCCTCCTCCTCCTCCTCCAAAACCGAAATCGTCCCGCTCGCCGCCGTCCTCGTCGCAGCGCTGGCGCTCCCACAGCGCGGGTCGGCCGAGGGCGGTTGTGCGCGACGGCGCGCCCCTGGATTTGAGTCGGGCCTGTCCCCCTGCAGAGGGGATGTTCGACGAAGAATACAAAATACCCCAACCCCAAAAAGGCCAGAAAATATATAAAAAATAGTCCCCGCACTATTTTTGGATCATGTTTGGAGCATTTGTGGAGTATTTCTTATTTTTCGTCGAGAATCCCCCTGTAGGGGGACGCGCCCGACTTTACCCTGGATGGTGGTTTTGTTCTCTCTGACCCTGGTTTGCTTTCTCGTCTTTTCGTTTCCTCGGCCCCTGTGTCGTGGTCTCTCGGGGATGGACAGACCTCCCTTTCGTAAAACGTGGTTCAGTGAAAACGACCTGAGGCCCAGACCTGGCGGGCGCGAGCCTAGAAAATGACGGCCGAGGCGCCCCCTCGAGAACCGACAACGGACAATTCACTAATCGACGTGTCACTGTTGGGGGTTCTGTCCACCCCCGAGTCTCGTCTTCTCTGTCGGCCACCGCGCGGGTCGGCCGAGGGCGCGGTGCGCCACGGCGCCCCCCCCCGAGCCCAGACGCGCCGACGTGCCGGCTTCTGCCGCCCGCCGCCCGCGTTTTTCTCGGGCCGCCTCCGAGCGCGGACCCGGCCATCCTCCTCCCCGTTTACCTCCTCCTCCTCCTCCCACCTCCTCCTCCCTCCTCCTCCCTCCTCCTCCCTCCTCGCTCCTCCTCCCCTCCTCCTCCCTCCTCATCCCCCTCCTCCTCCTCCTCCTCCTCCTCCTCCTCCTCCTCCTCGTCCCTCCTCCTCCCTCCTCCTCTCCCTCCTCCCCTCCTCCCGCCCTGCTCCTGCCACCGTTACCTCCCCTGGAAGAAAACCGCGTAAGGATAAAATTGACAACCGCTGAGCTCCAGCGACTCTGGAGGGTGTCTCGGGCGCGGAGCTCTGGGCAGGGATTGGTCCTCGTCCTGAGCCCGTCCGATCCAGAGACCCGAGAATGTGGAGCCCGCGGTTCGAAATCTGGAGATGCTTTTTCGACAGCGAACACAATGAGGACGGACAGTCTGTCACAGGGAAGTCCAGTGAACACATGCTATGAGAAATTTATCACCAACCCATTGGGTTCAGATGGTCCAGCGAGTTCTTTCCTCTTTCAAAAAACCCTCTTCCCTTGGGGATGGGGTACCCGCCCTCTCCCCTCCCTGTTTTTTTTGGTTGTTGGGGGGGGTCACGATGTGTCAGGGGGCCCTTGTTCGCCCAAGATGGCTCAAGAGGGTCTCCTATGCTCCAAGATGGCCTCCGAGGCGGCTCAAGATAACCGAATTTAGTACAAAAACGCTTCCAACGTGCCTGCCAGAGGCCCGACAAGGGCCGCAAGACGGCTCCGAGTGCTCTCGGAGCCCCCATCAAGATCCCCCCGAGAAGCCAACATCCTTCAGAAGCAGCAGGGACATCGGCAAGCATTGCCTTCTCGCCTTTTAGCTTCCGATGCGCTTATGAGGTCTCAAGATTGCCCCAAGATGGCCCAAGGGAGCCCCACGAGGGGCTCAGTACGCCCAGACAACGGCCCCACGAGCGCCCAAGAGCGGCCCAAGAGCGCCCCAAGAGGGCCCCAAAAGACGATGTCGAGGGCCCCAGAAAGGGGTGTGGGGGGGGGGGGGGGAAACGTTATGACCCCTCTCGTTTCACCGACGCCCTCCACGATAGCCCCAGGAGGCCCTCCAGGGCTCCCAAGAGGCCCCAAAGAGATCCCAAAGAGAGCTCCAAGAGGGCCCCCAAGACCCCCAACAAGAGCCCCAAGAGGACCCAAAGATCTTTCAAAAGAGCTCAGCAGAGCCCAAAGAGGGCCCAAAGAGGCGAGATTGAGGGTTCTGTCCTCGTCCTCGTTGTCCTCCTCTCCTCCTCCTCCTCCTCTTCCTCCGCCTCCTGTTCGTCCTCGTCCTCGTCCTTGCCCTCATCGTTTGCCTTGTCCGTTTCCTGTTCCTATTCCTATTCGTCGTAGTCGCCGTGATCGTGGTCGTCGTGGTCGTGGTCGTCGTGGCCGTGGCCGTGGTCGTGGTCGTGGTCGTGGTCGTGGTCGTGATGGTGGTGGTGGTGGTGGTGGTGGTGGTGGTGGTGGTGGTGGTCGTGGCCGTGGTCGTGGTCGTGGTCGTCGTGGTCGTCGTGGTCGTCGTCGTCGTCGTCGTCGTCGTCGTCGTCGTGGTCGTCGACGTCGGCGTCGGCGTCGGCGTCGATGTCGTGGTCGTGTTCCTGCTCCTCCTCCTCCTTCTCCTCCTCCTCCTCCTCTTTCCCTCGCCCCCACGCGGGCCCCAGGGATGCTCCGAAGATGCCCTCCAAGGCCACCCCCATGCTCCAAAGATCTCTCTGTTCACCCTGGCTGCCCGCTTTGTTTCATTATATATGTCTCTTCGTCTCTTTTCCCGTCAACTCTCATGGGCAGGGTTTCTGAATGGGCCAGTGGGGATACGTGAAGCGTGAATACTTACCATAAGAAGTCATGCGACACATTATTCGGGAGGAGGGGGAGGAGGAGGAGGAGGAGGAGGAGGAGGGGGAGGAGGAGGAGAAGGAGGAGGAGGAGGAGGAGGAGAAGCAGGGGGAGGAGGAGAAGAAGGAGGAGGAGAAGCAGGAGGAGGAGGAGAAGGAGGAGGAGGAGGAGAATGGGAGAAGGATGAGGAATATGCACAGCCGCTGCGCTGCGCCCGCTCACCCTCATCACTTCCTCGGCTGGCCTGGTCATCAACGGCGTTTCCAGCGACTGCCCACCCTTCGCGCTTTGACGCCAACATTGTGGTTGATGTCGTCCATCTCCAACTTCACTTTCCCGATGTCCTTGAGCAAAGCAGCGCTTCTGACGTTTGCCAGCTGCCCGGCCGCCTCACACGCTCTGCCGACGGAGTTGGTCAATGTCGATGGCGTTGGGCTGCAGATTCGCCTGGCACATCCCGCTGAATACCGCCAAACGTCACAGCCACTGCTCACCGCATCGGACCAGCTGGCCTCCGCAGCGTACTGATGTCGTCGGGGTCCCATCTTCGCTCCTGCATCTCGCTGACACGCTGACAGGCGACAGGACAATCTTGCCAAATTCTCTCACACGCGGTGGTCTCAGGGTTGGAGCTTACGACGCAGCAGGAGGCCGATGACAACACTGCAGCAGGCTCCGTTCGGATCCACCTTCACCTTTCCCATCTCGCTGAGCAGCGCCAACGCCTGCTGCCACTGCCTGGCCCTCTCACACGCGCTGATACCAGCGAAGTAGCTGATGGCGTTGGGCTCCAGATCCACCTCACAAATCTGGCTGAACAGCGTGCAAGCCCGCTGCCACTGCTCGCCCTTCCCGCACGCGCTGATGCCAGCATTGTAGCTGACTTCGTTGGGCTCCAATTTCGCCTCATGCATCTCCCTAAGCAGCGCCAAAGCCCGCTGCCATTGCTCGCTTTTCTCGCACGCGCTGATTCCAGCGCTGTAGCTGACTAGGGCTGATCCGTGGACTCCGTCCACGACATCTTTCTGGAATGGCTCTCGGAGGAACGGCGCAGATTGTACCGAAACTCTACAAACACGGCGGCGGCTCGGGCGGCGGCAGCGAGACCGCGCCTTCGTGTCCGAGCTCTTGCAGCGCTCCAGCAGCTTGGCCCAGCGCACTGCTCGTTCACCCCCCTCCTATTGAGGGCAGTTTCGAAGTCTCTCGGGGATGCGCGTCGAAGTCGAAGCCCATCTGAGGCGTCTCAGGAGCGCCCGGGGAAGGGCTCGGGAGGCCATCTGGGAAAACCACCGAAAGCGCCGGGGAGGCTCGCAAGGATCTACAGGAAGGGCTCAAGAGAGCTTCAAGACAATTTGAAATGGTGTAAAATCTTTAGTAGAGAAACCGCTGTTGGGTCGGCCATCACCTCCGGGCACGCCTTGATGGTGCGATCCAGTCGCATCACCGCCAACGGGAGGGTTTGTTCGCCATGTCCCATTCTGTTCGCCCAGAGGGTCTGTGGAGGCCTTCGGGCGAACAGAACGGGACAGGGCAAGGAATGGGGAAGACTTGTCCGAATCTCCTGGGCCCCCCAGTTGCTCGTCCGAAGAATGCGGAGAGGTCCCAGGGTCATATCAATTGGCTGCTGTCCCAGGGGTCCGGTCTGCTTGGCCCGAAGAGTTTGCCAAGGCCCCTGGGGGAACAGAATGGCACAGCATATCGGGCAAAGGGGGGCGGTAGCTGGCCTGTCAGACCCGGCGTTCGTCTTCTGCCCAAGCGGCGCGGGGCCCACGGGCCCCAGGGTTGGCGGCCCGCTGGGTTTCCTCTTGTTCGCCCACAGGGTTGGAGGAGGCCTCCAGGCGAACATAATGGGGCAGGACAGTGAATGTGGGAGACTTGTCGCAAGCTCCCAGCCCCCCCAAGTGTTCGCCCGAAGGGTGTGGGGCCGCGTTGGCTCCCTCAAAGGGCCGTCTTGGAGCCGTCTAGGCCCGTCTTGAGGGCGCCGTTTGCCGTGATGGGGCCGTCTTGGTTCGTCGTGGGCCCCTCATGGGCGCGTCCGTAGGCCGTCCTGGGCCCATCGGGGTCCTTGTTGGCACTATCGTGGGGCTGTCTTGGAGCCGTCTGGGACCGTGAGGCGGCCGCCTTGGAGTCGTCTTGGGCCCCTCCTGGGCGCCTCCTTGGGCCGTCCTGGGCCCAGCAAGGGCCGTGTTGGCACCCTCTGGGGGCTGTCTTGGAGCCGTCTTGAGCCGTCGCAGCGCGCATTGGGTTGTCCTGGGTCCGTCTTGGCCCGTCTTGGGGCCTTCCTGGGCGTTTCCTCGGACCCTCGTGGGACTTTCTGGGGCCTCTTGGTGCATCGGACCGCCGAAATGGCGGGAAACGCAAAGGGTATAACAGTAAACAATGGAAAATTAGCGATTTTTGCCAGCTGGGGCTTTCTTGCCATCTTGGCCCGTCTTGAGGCCCCGACTGGGCGCGTCCTTGGGCCGTCCTGGGCCCACCCTCCTGGGACCGTCTTGGAGTCGTCTTGAGCCGTCTTGAACGCGCCTTGGGCCGTCCTAGGCCCGTCTGGGGCCGTGTTGGCACCCTTGCGGCGAGGAAGCTCGGAGGCGGGCTCGAGGCCTCTTCGGGGCAATTTTGGAAGCTGTTGGGGCCTCTGTTGGGGCCTCGCTTGGGTTCCTTGGGAGCCTCCTGGGGCCTCTTCGGGGGATTCTTGGCGGCCCCTTGGGGCCTCTTGGGGGCCTGTTTGGGTCTCATGGCGCCCTCTTGGGGCGGAAAGCTCGGATTTTCGGTCCATGGTCCCCCTCTTGGGCCCCTCTTGGGCCTGTCTTCGGGCCCTCGTGGGCCGTCTTGAGCGTCTCTTGGGTCGTCTTGGGGCCCTCTTGGGCTGTCTTGGGGCGCTCTTGGAGGCGCTCTTGGATGCCTCTTGGGCCGTCTTCGAGCGTCGGAAAGCGGAAAAGGCGAGAAGGCCAAAATCCTTCCCAAACCGTCGTGAAAGGGATGATTTTGGCCGCTCGGGGCCCTCGGGGAATACGCTTACAGGCCTGTTGTGCCGTCTGGGCGGCCTCTTGGAGCGCTCTTTGGGCGTCTCGGGGGCTCCTTGAGCTGTCTTGGGGGCCTCTTGGGGCCTCCGGAGCCTCTCCGGAGCCGCCCGGGGTGTCTTTAAACCGCGCCGCCCGGGGCCGGGGCGTCGGAGGAGCTCCCCGACCCCCATCTTTTCTCGCACGCGCTGACCCCAGCAGTGTAGCTGACTTCGTTGGGCTCCAATTTCGCCTCACGCATCTCCCCAAACAGCGCCAAAGCCCGCTGCCATTGCCCGCTCTTTTCGCACGCGCTGATTCCAGCGCTGCAGCTGATGACGCTGGGCTCTAGCTCCGCCTTGCACATCTCGCTGAGCAGCGCTAGCGCCCTCTGCCATTGTCCGCCCTTCCCACACGCGCTAATCCCAGCGCTGTAGCTGAAGTCGTTGGGCTCCAGCTTCGTCGCGAAATTCTCGCTGAGCAGCGCCAGAGCCCGCTGCCACTGCTCGCCCTTCCCGCACGCACTGATCCCAGCAGTGTAGCTGACTTCGTCGGGCTCCAATTTCGCCTCACGCATCTCCCTAAGCAGCGCCAGCGCCCGCTGCCATTGATCGCTCTTTTCGCACGCGCTGATTCCAGCGTTGTAGCTGACTGGGGCTGACCCGCGGCCTTCCGACCGCGGAATATGCCCGCCATGGCGTGGACGTGGAAGAGAAGCGTCTCTGGGGCCTCGCGGGTAAGGGGTGGGTGGAAGGGACGGCGTGGATGGAGGAGGTGCCCGCTGGAGGTGGAGGTGGGCGAGGGATGCAGGAAGCACCCCTGAAGGCAGGAACGCGGTGGAGGCGGTGTCGGTGGAAACACGCCCGTGCCTGGGCCTGGGTAATGGCTCAGAGCCCTCTGGGGTCCCTCTTGGAGGCAGCTTTGGGGCCTCTTGGGGGCCGTCGTGGGGCCTCGTGGGGCTTGCTTTGGGCTTCTTGGGGGCCTCTGGGTGCCTCGTGGCGTTCCATTGTGGGCGTATAGGAGGCCCAGGGCTCGGACTGTCACGGTGTTTCCCCGTTCGTTGGCCCCCTCTTGGGCCTGGCTTGGGGTCCTCTGGGGCCGTCTCGGGCGCCTCTTGGGCCACCTTGGGGCTCCATGAGCCGTCTGGGGACGCGCTTGGAGACCTGTTGGGCCGTCCTGGGGCGGTCTTGTGGGTCTCTTCGGCCGTCTCGGAGCGTCGGCTAGCCGAGAAGGCGAGAAGGCAACACTCCTTCAAAAGCTACAGAAAATAAAGGATGTTGGCCTCTTGGGGCATGCTCCGGAGGACTGTTGGAGGCTCTTGGAGGCCTCTTGGGCCTTGCTGGGGGCCTCTAGGGGGCCTCTTGGACGCTCCTTGAAGCCTCTTATGGCCACTTCGGCGCGTCTTTGCGCGGAGGGCTCGATTTGTGACGCTCGGGGGCGGGGATCGTCGTGAGGGGTGTCGAAAAATGGCCCTCCAGTGAGCGCATCGGTGCACGATGTTCTGGCACGCGCTGTTGTCCGCCATATAGAAGAGATGACAGTGGGCTCTAGTTTCGCCGCACGCATGTCGCTGAGCAGCGACAAAGCCGGCTGCCACTGCGCGCCCTTCTCGCACGCGCTGATGCCAGCATTGTAGCTGACTAGGGCTGACCCGTGGACTACGTCCACTTGCGCGGTGAACGGGTGCGGCCGCCAGGCGATCAGGATAGATGGTGTCATGTGGAAGTGTCTTGTGGGCTCCCGGAGGTCTCACGACGACGACGACGACGACGACGACGACGACGAAGACGACGACGGCGACGACGACGACGACGACGACGACAACGACGACGACGACGACGACGATGGCGGCGGCGGCGGCGGCGGCGACCACGGGCTGCAAGGCTACGCTGGCCCGATTCAGGGCCACCGGCCCGCCGGCCCAGAGTCGGCGGTGCCGATGCTGGACCGCCGCGCTGCCAGCCACGAATCCCACCCGGTGCGCCCTGGGCTGCCTCTCGCGCCTCCGGAGCCGGCCAACCCGATTCTGGTCGCCCCCCGGCCCGCCGTCCCAGAGCCGATTTTGGGACCCCGACCCGCCAGCCTAGAATCGGCGGGATCAATTCTGGGGCGCCACGCCGCCAGCCCAGAGTCGGCGGGACGGAACCAAAAAGAGCTTCGTGGTGTTCGTTTTGAGGGGCGCTCAAAACGAACAGTGCCCAGCCCCTGGTGGGGCCTTCCCAGGCCTCTCTCGAGGCTCTCTTCGAAGCGTCGGAGATCTTCTTGGGCTCCTTTGGGGGGGGTCCTCCCGGCTTGAAGGCCGTCTTGGTAGGGGCCTCGAGGGCGCCACCACGGATCCAAGAAGAGCTTCGTGGTGTTCGTTGCCAGGGGCGCTCAAAACGAAGAGTGCGTGGCCTCTCGCGGGGTCTTCCTAGGCCTCCCTCGCAGCTCTATTCGAAGTTCCTGAGATCTTCTTGGGCTCCTTTGGGAGGCTCCTCGCGGCTTCAAGGCCGTCTCGGTAGGGGCCTCGAGGGCGCCGGGACGGAACCAAAAAGAGCTTCGTGGTGTTCGTTTTGAGGGGCGCTCAAAACGAACAGAGCGCGGCCTCTGGCGGGGTCTTCCTATGCCTCTCTCGGGACTCTCTTCGAAGTTCCTGAGATCTTCTTGGGCTCCTTTGGGAGGCTCCTCGCGGTTTCAAGGCCGTCTCGGGAGGGGCCTCGAGGGCGCCAGGACGGAACATAACAGAGCTTCCAGGTGTTCGTTTTGAGGGTCGCTCAAAACGAACAGTGCCCAGCCCGTGGTGGGGCCTTCCCAGGCCTCTCTCGAGGCTCTCTTCGAAGCGTCGGAGATCTTCTTGGGCTCCTTTGGGAAGGTCCTCCCGGCTTGAAGGCCGTCTTGGTAGGGGCCTCGAGGGCGCCAGGACGGAACCAAAAAGAGCTTCGTGGTGTTCGTTTTGAGGGGCGCTCAAAACGAACAGAGCGCGGCCTCTGGCGGGGTCTTCCTATGCCTCTCTCAGGACTCTCTTCGAAGTTCCTGAGATCTTCTTGGGCTCCTTTGGGGGGCTCCTCGCGGCTTCAAGGCCGTCTCGGTAGGGGCCTCCGGGGCGCCAGGACGGAACCAAAAAGAGCTTCGTGGTATTCGTTTTGAGGGGCGCTCAAAACGAACAGAGCGCGGCCTCTCGCGGGGTTTTCCTAGGCGTCTTTCGGGGCTCTCTTCAAAGTTCCTGAGATGTTGTTGGGATCCTTTGGGAAGCTCCTCGCGGCTTCAAGGCCGTCTCAGGAGGGGCCTCGAGGGCGCCAGGACGGAACCAAAAAGAGCTTCCAGGTGTTCGTTTTGAGGGGCGCTCAAAACGAACAGTACCCAGCCCCTGGTGGGGCCGCAAAGAACGCGAGGGCGCGGGGAAAAGCACGCACCGGGAACTCGCAGGGAACCTCGTCAGCAGGAACGTCGAAGTGGCTGGTATTCCAAAGCAAATATGTTTTTTTCCCTCCTCAGGCGCTCCTGCCGGCGCGTGTTAGACCGCTCTGGGGCCATTTTAGGCGCGCGGGGGAGGCTGCTGAGCTTGCAGGGCGCCTCCAGAAGCATCTCGGAGCGCCCGAAGAAATCCCAAGAGCGCCCGGAGGAGGCCGCGGAGGGCCGGAAGAGGACCCCGAGGCGCCAGAAGGGCCGGACGCACCGGGAGCCGGCAGGGAACCTCGTCAGCAGGAACTTGAAAGTGGCTCGTTTTCCCAAGGAAATGCCTCTTTTTCCCCTCCTCAGACGCTCCTGCCGGCGCGTGTTGGAGTGTCTTGGGCCATCGTGGGCGCGAGGGGGAGGCTGCTGAGCTTACAGGGCGCCTCCGGGGAGGCATCTCGGAGCGTCTCGGAGCGACCTGAGGCAGCCTCGGAGCCGCGCTGGAGTCGACCAGAGCTTGCTGGGACGCCCGGGGAGGGCTCTGGAGGGGCCGGCCCGCGGCCACTGCGTTACAATTTGGCTAGCGGTGAACGCTGCATTGCAGTAGAGATGACTAGGGCTGAGCCGTGGACTCCGTCCACGACATCTGGCCGAGAGCATTCTCGGGGGAGCGGAGGGAACGCTGCCGAAAAGCTATCCACATGGCGGTCAAACCCTCGACTTCGAGGGGGCCTCTGGAGGCTCTCTTGAGCTCTCGTCGGTGCCATCTGGGCCGTCTCGGAACCGTCTTGGGCCGTCTTGGGCGCCTCTTGGGCGGCCTGGGGGCCGTCTTGGTCTTGGACCGTCTTGGGCGGCCTTTGGGGCTGCCTTGGGTGCCTTCTGGGCCGTCTTGGGGCCGTCGTGGGCCGTCTTGGGCGCCTACTGGGCCGTCTTCTGGCTGTGTTGGGCCCATCTTTGAGGCTGTCTTCGTCTTGGGCCCTGATAGGGGCATCTTGGACCGATCGTGGGGGGCTCTGTGGCCGTCGTCGACGGGTCGCAGACGAAAAGCTCGAGAATGCAACAAATAGAAGTTTCCCGACGGGACTGGGACGATTTGCGCGTCTCAGGGCTGTCCTGTGGAATCCTCGAGGGCCGTCTTCGGAGGCTCCTGGCTTGTCCTGGGGGCCCTTGGGGTCGTCGGAGCGGCTTCTTTAGCAGCTCGGAGCGCCTCTGGGGCCGTCGGGGTGGCCCCTGGAGCGGTTCGGAGCCATCTTGGGGTCGTCGGGGCGCCGGCGTTCGTCTTCTGCCCAAGCGGCGCGGGGCCCACGGGCCCCAGGGTTGGCGGCCCGCGGGGTTTCCTGGTGTTCGCCCAGAGGGTTGGAGGAGGCCTCCAGGCGAACAGGAAGGGGCAAGACAAGGAATGTGGGAGACTTGTCGCAAGCTCCCGGTCTCCCCAAGTGCTCGCCCGAACGGTGTGGGGCCGTGTCGGTTCCCTCACAAGGCCGTCTTGGAGCCGTCTAGGCCCGTCTTGAGGGCGCCGAGAACCGTGATGGGGCCAGCTTGGTTCGTCGTGGGCCCCTCATGGGCGCGTCCGTGGGCTGTCCTGGGCCCATCGGGGGCCGTGTTGTCACTCTCTTAAGGATGTTTTGGAGCCGTCTAGGGCCGTGAGGGGGCCGTCTTGGCTCGTCTTGGGCCCCTCCTGGGCGCCTCCTTGGGCCGTCCTGGGCCCAGCAGGGGCCGTGTTGGCACCCTCTTGGGGTTGTCTTGGGGCTGTCTTGGGGCCGTCTTGGGCCGTCGCAGCGCGCCTTGGGTTGTGCTGGGGCCGTCTTGGGCCGTCTTCAGCGCGCCTTGGGCCGTGCTAGGGCGGTCTTGGCCCGTCGTGGGGCCCTCCTGAGAGCCTCCTGGGGGTCTGCCGAGGCCCGTCGGGGGCCCCTTGGGGCCTCCTGGAGGCCTCTTGGGGTCTCCTGGGGCCATCTGAAAGCGGATAGCTGGATATTTCAATCGGTGGTCCTTCTCTTGGGCCTCTCTTGAGGCCTTCTTGGCGGCATTCTGGGCTCGCCTGCACGCCTCTTGGGCCATCATGGGGCCCTCTTGGGCCGTCTTGGAGCTCTCTTGGGGGCCTCTTCGGCCGTTGTGGAGCTGTCTTTGGGGCCTCTTGGGCAGGCAGTCTTCGAGCGTCGGGAAGCCGACAAAGAGAGACCGCAAGAAACATTGAAACAAACTATGAAATTCAACGATGTGTGCCTCTCGGGACCATCTTGAGAGGCCTCTTGGGGCGTCTTGGAGACCTCTTGGGCCGTCCTTGGACCAATATTAAGCGTCTTGGCCCTATCATTGGGCGTCTCGGGGCGCTCTTGGGCCGTCTTGGGGGCGTCTTGGGGCCATCTTGACCCGTCTGGAGGCTTCCCTGGGCGGCCTGGTGCGCCCCGGGGCAGGCCCGGGGCGGTTTTGACTTCATTGATCTAGCTGATGACGTCGGGCTCCAACTTCCCCTCAAACATCTTGCTGAGCAGCGCCAGAGCCCGCTGCCACTGCCCGCCCTTCTCGCACGCGCTGATCCAAGCGTTGTGGCTGATGACGTTGGGCTCTACTTTCACCTCACGCATGCCGCTAAGCAGAGCCAAAGCCCGCTGCCACTGCCCACCCTTCTCGCACGCACTGATCCCAGCAGTGTAGCTGACTAGGGCAGACCTGTGGACTCCGTCCACGACATCAGCTCGACGTGGCGAGGGGTCTCTGGGCAAGCGCGGGGGGGTGCGGCTGCAGGGCCGAAAGGCAATCATGATGGCGTCGGGCTCCAGCTTGGCTCTCCACATCTCGCAGTGCAGCGCCAGGCCCCGCTTGTCGTAAGGGTGCCTTCGATATGCCGGTCGCCTCTCGTCCGCTCCCCCCCTCCTGGAAGCAATTCTGAGGCCACTTAGGGCTTCGTGGGGGCCGTTTGGGGATCTCTTCGGGCGTTTTTGCCTGCGAAATGCCTGTCGTCTCTCGTCCGCTCCCCCGCTCCTGGAGGGAATTCTGAAGCCACTGAAGGCTTGCCTTCTTTTGGGCCTCCCGGGGGGGCTCTTAGGGCCCTCTCGGGCCGTCTTGGGTGCCTCTTGGGCCGTCTTGGGGCCGTCTGAGGCCCGCCTCGGCGCCTCTTGGGCTGTCTTGGGCCGTCTTGGGCCGCTCCTGGGGCCGTCTTGGGTGCCTCTTGGGCCGTCTTGGGCGCCTCCTGGGCCATCCTGGGGCCGTCCTGGGGCGTCTTGGGACCGTCTTGGGGCCCTCCTGGCCCGTCTTGGGGCTCTCTTGGGGTCCTCTTCGGCCGTCTTGGAGCGGTCGGGGGGACTTCTTGGGCCGTCTTGGAGCGTCGGGAAGCCGAAGAGGCGAGGAGGCCGAAAACATCGAAAAACACAATAGAAATCGACGATTTCTGTCGCTCGGGGCCCTCTTGGGAGGCCTCTTGGGAGGCCTCTTCGGGCGTCTTGGACGCCTCTTGGGCCGTCTGGGGCGAATCTCGGGCGTCTTGGGCCCATCTTTAAGCGTGCCGGGGCTCTCCGGGGCCGTCTTGGGGGCTTCTGGGGGCCCTCTCGACATGTCCTGGAGCCTGCCTGGGCGGCCCGGGGCGGCCCGGGGCCAGCCCAGGGCGGTTTTGGTGCATTGGGGCCTGCGCCATTCTGGCACGCACTGGGCCCTGCAATGTAGTAGAGATGACGCTGGGCTCCAGCTTCGCCTCACTTATCTCGCTGAGCAGCGCGCAGGCTCGCTGCCACTGCTCGCCCTTCTCGCACGCGCTGATGCCAGCACTGTAGCTGATGGCGTTGGGCTCTAATTTCGTCTCCCACATCCCGCTGAGCAGCGCCAGAGCCCGCTGCCACTGCTCGCCCTTTCCGCACGCGCTGATCCCAGCGCTGTAGCTGATGGCGTTGGGCTCCAGTTTTGCTTCACACATCCCGCTGAGCAGCGCCAAAGCCTGCTGCCACTGAATGCACTTGTCGCACGCATTGATCCCAGCGTTGTAGCTGATGACGTTCGGCTCCACGCTCGCCTCCCGCATCTCACCGAGTAGAGCGCAAGCTCGCTGCCATTGCTCGCCCTTTCCGCACGCGCTGATCCCAGCGCTGTAGCTGATGACGTCGGGCTCCAGCTGCGCCTCCCACATCCCGCTGAGCAGCTCACAAGCCCGCTGCCACTGCTCGCCCTTTCTGCACGCGCTAATCCCAGCGCTGTAGCTGATGACGTCGGGCTCCAGCTTCACCTCCCACATCCTGCTGAGCAGCGCACAAGCCCGCTGCCACTGCCCGCCCTTCTCGCACGCACTGATCCCAGCATTGTAGCTGACTAGGGCAGACCTGTGGACTCCGTCCACGACATCAGCTCGACGTGGCGATGGGTCTCTGGGCAAGCGCGGGGGGGTGCGGCTGCAGGGCCGAAAGGCCCTCGGAGCGTCCAACATTGTTCTTTTGTGCCTTCGATGTGCCGGTCGCCTCTCGTCCGCTCCCCCCCTCCTGGAAGCAATTCTGAGGCCACTTAGGGCTTCGTGGGGGCCGTTTGGGGATCTCTTGGGGCGTTTTTGCCTGCGATATGCCTGTCGCCTCTCGTCCGCTCCCCCGCTCCTGGAGGGAATTCTGAAGCCACTGAAGGCTTCGTGGGGGCCGTTTCGGAGCCTCTTCGGCCTTCTTTTGGGCCTCCCGGGGGGGCTCTTAAGGCCCTCTCGGGCCGTCTTGGGTGCCTCTTGGGCCGTCTTGGGGCCGTCTGAGGCCCGCCTCGGCGCCTCTTGGGCTGTCTTGGGCCGTCTTGGGCCGCTCCTGGGGCCGTCTTGGGTGCCTCTTGGGCCGTCTGGGGCGCCTCCTGGGCCGTCCTGGGGCCGTCCTGGGGCGTCTTGGGACCGTCTTGGGGCCCTCCTGGCCCGTCTTGGGGCTCTCTTGGGGTCCTCTTCGGCCGTCTTGGAGCGGTCGGGGGGACTTCTTGGGCCGTCTTGGAGCGTCGGGAAGCCGAAGAGGCGAGGAGGCCGAAAACATCGAAAAACAAATAGAAATCTACGATTTCTGTCGCTCGGGGCCCTCTTGGGAGGCCTCTTGGGAGGCCTCTTCGGGCGTCTTGGACGCCTCTTGGGCCGCCTGGGGCGAATCTCGGGCGTCTTGGGCCCATCTTGAAGCGTGCCGGGGCTCTCCGGGGCCGTCTTGGGGCTCTCTGGGGCCCTCCCGACATGTCCTGGAGCCTGCCTGGGCGGCCCGGTGCGGCCCGGGGCCAGCCCGGGGCGGTTTTGACTCATTGGAGCCTGCGCCCTTCTGGCACGCACTGGGCCCTGCAATGTAGTAGAGACGTCGTTGGGCTCCAATTTCGCCTCTCGCATCTCCCTAAGCAGCGCCAAAGCCCGCTGCCATTGCTCGCTCTTTTCGCACGCGCTGATTCCAGCGCTGTAGCTGATGACAGTGGGCTCCAGTTTCGCCTCACACATCTCGCTCAGCAGAGCTAGGGCCCGCTGCCACTGCTCGCCCTTCTCGCACGCGCTGATCCCAGCGCTGTAGCTGATGACGTCGGGCTTCAGCTTGGCCTCCCAAGTCTCGCTTAGCAGCGCCAGAGCCCGCTGCCACTGCTCGCCCTTCTCGCACGCGCTAATCGCAGCATTGTAGCTGATGATGTTGGGCTTCAACTTCACCTCCCACATCTCGCTGAGCAGCGCCAGGGCCCGCGGCCACTGCTTCCCCTTCTCGCACGCGCTGATCCCAGCGCTGTAGCTGATGACTTTGGGTTCCAGCTTCGCCTCCCACATCCCGCCGAGCAGCGCACAAGCCCGCTGCCACTGCTCGCCCTTCTCGCACGCACTGATCCCAGCATTATAGCTGACTAGGGCAGACCTGTGGACTCCGTCCACGACATCAGCTCGACGTGGCGAGGGGTCTCTGGGCAAGCGCGGCGTGCCTGTCGCCTCTCGTCCGCTCCCCCGCTCCTGGAGGGAATTCTGAAGCCACTGAAGGCTTCGTGGGGGCCGTTTCGGAGCCTCTTCGGCCTTCTTTGGGGCCTCCCGGGGGGGCTCTTAGGGCCCTCTCGGGCCGTCTTGGGTGCCTCTTGGGCCGTCTTGGGGCCGTCTGAGGCCCGCCTCGGCGCCTCTTGGGCTGTCTTGGGCCGTCTTGGGCCGCTCCTGGGGCCGTCTTGGGTGCCTCTTGGGCCGTCTTGGGCGCCTCCTGGGCCGTCCTGGGGCCGTCCTGGGGCGTCTTGGGACCGTCTTGGGGCCCTCCTGGCCCGTCTTGGGGCTCTCTTGGGGTCCTCTTCGGCCGTCTTGGAGCGGTCGGGGGGACTTCTTGGGCCGTCTTGGAGCGTCGGGAAGCCGAAGAGGCGAGGAGGCCGAAAACATCGAAAAACACAATAGAAATCGACGATTTCTGTCGCTCGGGGCCCTCTTGGGAGGCCTCTTGGGAGGCCTCTTCGGGCGTCTTGGACGCCTCTTGGGCCGTCTGGGGCGAATCTCGGGCGTCTTGGGCCCATCTTTAAGCGTGCCGGGGCTCTCCGGGGCCGTCTTGGGGGCTTCTGGGGGCCCTCTCGACATGTCCTGGAGCCTGCCTGGGCGGCCCGGGGCGGCCCGGGGCCAGCCCGGGGCGGTTTTGGTGCATTGGGGCCTGCGCCCTTCTGGCACGCACTGGGCCCTGCAATGTAGTAGAGACTAGGGCTGACCCGTGGACTCCGTCCACGACATCTTTCTGGAATGGTTCTCGGAGGAACGGCGCAGATTGCACCGAAAATCTACAAACACGGCGGCGGCTCGGGCGGCGGCAGCGAGACCGCGCCTTCGTGTCCGAGCTCTTGCAGCGCTCCAGCAGCTTGGCCCAGCGCACTGCTCGTTCACCCCCCTCCTATTGAGGGCAGTTTCGAAGTCTCTCGGGGATGTGCGTCGAAGTCGAAGCCCATCTGAGGCGTCTCAGGAGCGCTCGGGGAAGGGCTCGGGAGGCCATCGGGGAAAGCCACCGAAAGCGCCGGGGAGGCTCGCAAGGATCTACAGGGAGGGCCCAAGAGAGCATCAAATACATTTGAAATCCAGTGAACTCTTAAAAGAACCCGCTGTTGGGTCGGCCATCACCTCCGGGCGCGCCTTGATGGTGCGATCCAGTCGCATCACCGCCAACGGGAGGGTTTGTTTGCGATGTCCCATTATGTTCGCCCAGAGGGTCTGTGGAGGCCTTCGGGCGAACAGAACGGGACAGGGCAAGGAATGGGGAAGACATGTCCGAATCTCCTGGGCCCCCCAGATGCTCGTCCGAAGAATGCGGAGAGGTCCCAGGGTCATATCAATTGGCTGCTGTCCCAGGGGTCCGGTCTGCTTGGCCCGAAGAGTTTGCCAAGGCCCCTGGGGGAACAGAATGGCACAGCATATCGGGCAAAGGGGGGCGGTAGCTGGCCTGTCAGACCCGGCGTTCGTCTTCTGCCCAAGCGGCGCGGGGCCCACGGGCCCCAGGGTTGGCGTCCCGCTGGGATTCTTCTTGTTCGCTCACAGGGTTGGAGGAGGCCTCCAGGCGAACAGAATGGGTCAGGACAATGAATGTGGGAGACTTGTCGCAAGCTCCCAGCCCCCCCAAGTGTGCGCCCGAAGGGTGTGGGGCCGCGTTGGCTCCCTCAAAGGGCCGTCTTGGAGGCGTCTAGGCCCGTCTTGAGGGCGCCGTTTGCCCTGATGGGGCCGTCTTGGTTCGTCGTGGGCCCCTCATGGGCGCGTCCGTAAGCCGTCCTGGACCCATCGGGGTCCTCGTGGGGCTGTCTTGGAGCCGTCTGGGACCGTGAGGAGGCCACCTTGGAGTCGTTGGGCCCCTCCTGTGCGCCTCCTTGGGCCGTCCTGGGCCCAGCAGGGGCCGTGTTGGCACCCTCTTGGGGCTGTCTTGGAGCCGTCTTGAGCCGTCGCAGCGCGCCTTGGGTTGTGCTGGGTCCGTCTTGGCCCGTCTTGGGGCCTTCCTGGGCGGTTCCTCGGACCCTCCTGGGACTTTCTGGGGCCTCTTGGTGCATCGGACCGCCGAAACGGCGGGAAACGCAAAGGGTGTAACAGTAAACAATGGAAAATTAACGATTTTTGCCAGCTGGGACTCTCTTGCCATCTTGGCCCGTCTTGAGGCCCCGAACGGGCGCGTCCTTGGGCCGTCCTGGGCGCACCCTCCTGGGACCGTCTTGGAATCGTCTTGGGCCGTCTTGAGCGCGCCTTGGGCCGTCCTGGGCCGGTCTGGGGCCGTGTTGGCACCCTCGCGGCGAGGAAGCTCGGAGGCGGGCTCGAGGCCTCTTCGGGGCCATTTTGGAAGCTGTTGGGGCCTCTGTAGGGGCCTCGTTTGGGCTCCTTGGGAGCCTCCTGGGGCCTCTTCGGGGGATTCTTGGCGGCCCCTTGGGGCCTCTTGGGGGCCTGTTTGGGCCTCCTGGCGCCCTCTTGGGGCGGAAGGCTCGGATTTTCGGTCCGTGGTCCCCCTCTTGGCCCCCTCTTGGGCCTGTCTTCGGGCCCTCGTGGGCCGTCTTGAGCGTCTCTTGGGTCGTCTTGGGGCCCTCTTGGGCTGTCTTGGGGCGCTCTTGGAAACCTCTTGGGCCGTTCTGGGGTGCTCTTGGAGGCCTCTTGGGCCGTCTTCGAGCGTCGTAAAGCGGAAAAGGCGAGAAGGCCAAAATCCTTCCAAAACCGTCGTAAGCGGACGATTTTGAAGCCCAAAACCGTCCAAAACCTCCTGAGGCGGTCCCCTCGTCCGCCCCCTCGCTTCGAAGCAGTTTTTAAGCCCCGTGGCACCTCTTAGGGATCTCTTTTGGGCTCCTGGGGGCCTCTTGGGCCTCCACTGGATTCGCTGCCCTCGGTCGGCAATCGTCGATCCTACGACGACTCTCCCCAACGGAGAAACATCGAAGGCCCTCGGAGCGTCCAACATTGTTCTTTTGTGCCTTCGATATGCCGGTCGCCTCTCGTCCGCTCCCCCCCTCCTGGAAGCAATTCTGAGGCCACTTAGGGCTTCGTGGGGGCCGTTTGGGGATCTCTTGGGGCGTTTTTGCCTGCGATATGCCTGTCGCCTCTCGTCCGCTCCCCCGCTCCTGGAGGGAATTCTGAAGCCACTGAAGGCTTCGTGGGGGCCGTTTCGGAGCCTCTTCGGCCTTCTTTTGGGCCTCCCGGAGGGGCTCTTAGGGCCCTCTCGGGCCGTCGTGGGTGCCTCTTGGGCCGTCTTGGGGCCGTCTGAGACCTGCCTCGGCGCCTCTTGGGCTGTCTTGGGCCGTCTTGGGCCGCTCCTGGGGCCGTCTTGGGTGCCTCTTGGGCCGTCTTGGGCGCCTGCTGGGCCGTCCTGGGGCCGTCCTGGGGCGTCTTGGGACCGTCTGGGGGCCCTCCTGGCCCGTCTTGGGGCTCTCTTGGGGTCCTCTTCGGCCGTCTTGGAGCGGTCGGGGGGACTTCTTGGGCCGTCTTGGAGCGTCGGGAAGCCGAAGAGGCGAGGAGGCCGAAAACATAGAAAACACAGTAGAAATCGACGATTTCTGTCGCTCGGGGCCCTCTTGGGAGGCCTCTTGGGAGGCCTCTTCGGGCGTCTTGGACGCCTCTTGGGCCGCCTGGGGCGAATCTCGGGCGTCTTGGGCCCATCTTTAAGCGTGCCGGGGCTCTCCGGGGCCGTCTTGGGGGCTTCTGGGGGCCCTCCCGACATGTCCTGGAGCCTGCCTGGGCGGCCCGGGGCGGCCCGGGGCCAGCCCGGGGCGGTTTTGAGACATTGGAGCCTGCGCCCTTCTGGCACGCACTGGGCCCTGCAATGTAGTAGAGACTAGGGCTGACCCGCGGCGTTCCGGCCGCGGAATCTGCCCGCCATGGCTTGGACGTGGAAGTGGAGCGTCTCTGGGGCCTCTCGGGTAACGGGAGGTTGGAGGGGACGGTGTGGATGGAGGAGGTGGCCGCTGGAGGGGGAGGTGGGCGAGGGATGCAGGCAAGCAGGCCTGAAGGCAGGAACGCGGTGGTGGAGGCGGTGTCAATGGAAGCGCACCCATGTAGGCATGACAGCTGTTTCTGACGCCGCAGTCTGTGTTCACCATAGCTTCTGCGGGGAGGGCAGCCGTGAGAAGTTATCTGCTCTTCGCCGGGGCCGAATGATAATTTGATGTGGTAGTGTGGTGACAATGGGGCCAGTGGGCGCGGCCTAAGAGGCCCGAAAGAGGGCGGCGAGACGTAACTCCCTAAGACGTCCCCAAATGGCCCCAGTGCGAGGACACGAATCGACCTTTCGAGCGCACCACCCCAAGACGTCCCCAAATGGCGCAGAGATGGCTCGCAGTGGGTCCAAGAAGCCCCCAAGACGATACTGGAAGTTCGACGCTCCCCAAGAGAGAAGCATCCAACGCCTCTTGGGGGCCGCTTGGGGGCCCTTTTCGTCCTCCTGGGGGTCTCTTGAAGCCCTCTTGGGCAATCTTGAGTGCGTCTTGGGGCGATGTGGGGCCGTCTTGGGCGCCTCTCGGCATCTTGGGACAGTCTTGGAGCTATCTTGGGCAAATATTGGGCGCTTTTGGGGTTGTGTTTCTTGAGCCGTCTCGGGCGCCTCTGGAGCCGTCCCTGACGGCCCAGAGACCGTCTTGGAGACTGTCCAAACGGAAAGGCTTGGAGACGGGGCGGTGGGGGCATCTACAGCCGTCTTGGAGACGGGGCGGTGGGGCCGTCTTGGGCCATTGTTAACTGCTCTTGGGGCTGTCTTGGGTGCGTCTTGGGCCGTCTCGGGGCCCTCCTGGGGCCCTCCTGGGAAGCCTCTTCGGCGTCTCTTGGGCCGTCGTAGAGGCGTCTTGGGCCGTCTTGGCGCCGCAAAGACAGTCTTGGCTCGTCGTGGAGCGCTCTTGGAGCGTCTTGGGGATACCTGGGGCCTTCCTGGGAAAATCTTGGTGTCACCCTGGGGCCGTTGTGGGCGCCTCTTGGGCTCTCTTGACGCCCTCTCGGGCCTGTTTTCGTGCGTCTTGGGGGCCTCTTTGGCCGTGTTGGGGCGGTCGTGGGGACCTGGAACCAGCTTCTGCGCCAGATTCCCGTGAAGCAGCGCATGCTGGAAGTGAGCGTTTTTCTTTGGGAAAACAATGATTTTCGCCTCTGGGGGCCATCCTTGGACGCCTCTTGAGCGTCTCTGGGGCCGTCGTGGAGGCCTCCTGGGCCGTCTTGGGTGTGGTTTCGGCGGTCTTGGGCTCTCTTGGAGCGCTCTTGGGCCGTCTTGGGGGTGTCTGGGGCCGTCCTGGGCGCCTCCTGGGAGCCTCTTGGGGCCGCCTGGGGGCCGTGTTGGGCACCTCTTGGGTCTCTGGACGCTCTCGCGGGCCCGTTTTCGTGCCTCTGGGGGGCCTCTTGGGCCGTCTTGGGGCGGTCGTGGGGGCCTCTTGTCCCATCTTCTGCGCCATACTCCCGACAAACAGTGCGTGCTAAAATTGGACTTTTTCGTTGGACAAACAATGATTTGAACCTGTGGGGGCCATCCTGGGACGCCTCTTGAGCGTCTCTGGGGCCGTCGTGGAGGCCTCCTGGGCCTTGTCGGGGCCGTTTTCGTCGGTCTGGAGCTCTCTTGGAGCGCTCTTGGGCCGTTTTGGGGGTGTCTGGGGCCGTCCTGGGCGCCTCTGGGGCCGCGTGAGCGCCTCTGGGGCGTCCCCGGAGCCGTTGTGGGCATTTCAAGCCCATCAAGACAGGGACCCTTCCCGCACGCACGGGTCCCTGCATTGTAAAGAAGACTAGGGCTGACCCGTGGACTACGTCCACTTGCGGGGTGAAGGGGTGCTGCTGCAAGGCGATCAGGATGAATGGCGTCATGTTCGCCCGCCACACATCGCTGAGCGAGGAGACGGAGGAGCGTCTGGACGCCCCACCTGGGGCGCTCAAGGGCTCCCTTGGGATCGGGTCGGGCTTTGTCGGTGCGTTGGGTCCGACCTTCTCGGGGCGTTCTGGGGCCGACTGGGGGCCCTCTGAGGGGCCCCAAGATCACCAACACGCCTTCAAGATAGCTCCATAATGGCCGCCCGCCCAGAATCGGCGGGACCGATTCTGGGCCACCCCGCCGCCGACCCAGAATCCCGCCCGACGCACCTGGGCGGCCGCGCGCGCTTCAGGGGCCGGCCGAGGCGATTCTGGGCCACCAGAACAGCGAAACACGGCATGGCCCCAAGAGGCCGCGGAGAGGGCTCCAGACCGACAAAACAGGGCGAGGGATTTTGAGGCCAAATCCGGCAGGGAGCGCCAAACAAGCATCAGAGACCCATGGTGCGCTGGAAACCGTTTTGGGACCGTCTGCGGCCGTCTTAGACCGTCTTTGGCTGCTGTTGGTGCTGCCTTCGGTGCTTCTTGGGCCGTGATCTTGGGGCCCCTGGGGGTTGTTTTGGAGCCTCTTTGCGCTTCTCTTCGGCCTCCTGGACGCCTCCTGGGCGTGGGCTGTCTCGGGTGCCTCTTGAGCCGTGTGAAGGCTGTCTGGGGCCGTCTGAGGGTTGTCTGGGGCCGTCTTGGACGTCTCTGGAGCAGTCTGGGCATTATCTGGGAGTCGTCTAAGGCCGTCCTGGGCCGCTCTTGCTGTCTTGGATGCCCCTGGGCCGCCAGGGGCGCCTCAGGAGCCGTCCTAGATCAATATTGGGCCTCTGTATGGCCATCTTGGACGCTGTGAAACTGGGGAAGCCCAGGAACTGCCAACATGTACGTTTTCCCGAGGAAATGGGGCGATCTTTCATTGTTCGGGCTCTCTTGGGGCTCGTCGTGGAACACTTGGAGCGTTTTGGAAGCCCCCTGGGCCGCCTGCAAGCCATCTGAGGCGTTCTCGGGGCCGTCTGGGGGTTGCGTGGGTCCGCCTTGGGCGTCTCGGGAGAAGTCTGGGCACCGTCTGGGGGTCGTCTTTGGCCGTCCTGAGCCTCTCTTGAGGCTGTCTTGGGTACCCCGTGAGCCGCCAGGGGCGCCTCAGGAGCCGTCCTAGGGCCATCTTGGGACCCTGTATGGCAGTCTTGGACGCTATGGAACAATTTTGCAATGTCCGAGCTCTCTGGGGGCTCGTCGTGGAGCCCACTTGGAGCGCTTTGGAAGCCTCTTGGGCCGTCTGCAGGCCATCTGAGGCGTTCTCGGGGCCGTCTGGGGGTTGCCTGGGTCCGCCTTGGGCGTCTCTGGAGCAGTCTGGGCACCGTCGGGGGGTCGTCTTGGGCCGTCCTGGGCCGCTCTTGAGGCTGTCTTGGGTACCCCGTGGGCCGCCAGGGGCGCCTCAGGAGCCGTCCTGGCGTCGTCGTGGGCGGTCTTGGCGCCCTCACGGAGGCATCTTAGGGCGATCTTGGGGGTCTCTATGGCCGTCATGGACGCGTTGGAAACGAAAAGCACGATAATGCCCCAAATGCGCGTTGTCAGAAGGGAATGGGAAGATTTTGGCCTCTTGGGACTCTCCTGGGAGGTCCTCCAGGGCCGTCTTGGGAGCCTCCTGGCCTGCCTTGGGAGCTTTTAGGGCCGTCGAAGCGGCCTTTTGAGCAGCTCGGGGCCGTATGTTGGCCGTCTCGGGGGCGTCTAGGGGCCCACTTGGCCCGTCTGGAGGCTTCCCTGGGCGGCCTGGTGCGGCCCGGTGCCAGCCCGAGAGCGGTGTTGCGACTTTGGGTCCCCCGCCATTCTGGCACGCGGCTCCCCTGGCGGTAGAATATAGACTGCGTCGGGCTCCAATTTCGCCTCACGCATCTCCCTAAGCAGCGCCAAAGCCCGCTGCCATTGCTCGCTCTTTCCACACGCGCTGATTCCAGCGCTGTAGCTGATGACGTCGGGCTCCAGCTTCGCTTCCCACATCCCGCCGAACAGCGCCAGGGCCCGCTGCCACTGCTCGCCCTTCTCGCACGCGCTGATCCCAGCGCTGTAGCTGACTAGGGCAGACCTGTGGACTCCGTCCACGACATCAGCTCGACGTGGCGAGGGGTCTCTGGGCCATGCGGCGGCATCCGACTCAGCCTCTCGTCCGCTTTCACCGCTCCTGGAGGAATTCTTGAAAAATTTCATGATGGACTTCTTGAATATCGGTAGTTCTTATTTTGATTCAGTGGTCGTTATTAGGCATCTATATTTTTGAAGCCACTGAAGGCTTCGTGGGGGGCGTTTCGGAGCCTCTTCGGCCTTCTTTTGGGCCTCCCGGGGGGGCTCTTAGGGCCCTCTCGGGCCGTCTTGGGTGCCTCTTGGGCCGTCTTGGGGCCGTCTGAGGCCCGCCTCGGCGCCTCTTGGGCTGTCTTGGGCCGTCTTGGGCCGCTCCTGGGGCCGTCTTGGGTGCCTATTGGGCCGTCTTGGGCGCCTCCTGGGCCGTCCTGGGGCCGTCCTGGGGCATCTTGGGACCGTCTTGGGGCCCTCCTGGCCCGTCTTGGGGCCCTCTTGGGGTCCTCTTCGGCCGTCTTGGAGCGGTCGGGGGGACTTCTTGGGCCGTCTTGGAGCCTCGGGAAGCCGAAGAGGCGAGGAGGCCGAAAACATCGAAAAACACGACAGAAATCAACGATTTCTGTCGCTCGGGGCCCTCTTGGGAGGCCTCATCGGGCGTCTTGGACGCCTCTTGGGCCGTCTGGGGCGAATCTCGGGCGTCTTGGGCCCATCTTTAAGCGTGCCGGGGCTCTCCGGGGCCGTCTTGGGGGCTTCTGGGGCCCTCTGGACATGTCCTGGGGCCTGCCTGGGCGGCCCGGGGCGGCCCGGGGCCAGCCCGGGGCGGTTTTGAAACATTTGAGCCTGCGCCCTTCTGGCACGCACGTGCCCCTGCAATGTAGTAGAGATGACGTTGGGCTCCAGCTTCGCCTCCCGCATCTCGCTCAGCAGCGCAAGCGCCAGCTGCCACTGCTCGCCCTTCTCGCACGCGCTGATCCCAGCACTGCAGCTGATGACGTCGGGCTCCAGCTTCGCCTCCCACATCTCGCTCAGCAGCGCAAGTGCCCGCTGCCACTGCTCGCCCTTCTCGCACGCGCTGATCCCAGCGTTGTAGCTGACTAGGGCAGACCTGTGGACTCCGTCCACGACATCAGCTCGACGTGGCCAGTTGAAGGCGCTCTCCACACCCTCCAGGACCTCCTGCTCTCCTGTTTTCCTCAGCTGCTGCTGCTGCTCGGAGGTCCTGCTGCTTCCTCCCCCTCCTCCTCCTCCTCCTCCGCCTCCTCCTCCTCCTCCTCCTCCTCCTCCTCCTCCTCCTCTTCCACCTTCTTCTCCTCTTTCGCTGGATTCTCCATGCCCTCGGTCGGCAATCGTCGATCCTACGTCGACTCTCCCCAACAGAGAAACATCGAAGGCCCTCGGAGCGTCCAACATTGTTCTTTTGTGCCTTCGATATGCCGGTCGCCTCTCGTCCGCTCCCCCGCTCCTGGAAGGAATTCTGAAGGCACTGAAGGCTTCGTAGGGGCCGTTTCGGAGCCTCTTCGGCCTTCGTTTGGGCCTCGCGGGGGGGCTCTTAGGGCTCTCTCGGGCCGTCTTGGGTGCCTCGTGGGCCGTCTTCGGGCCATCTGAGGCCCTCCTTGGCGCCTCTTCGGCTGTCGTGGGCCGTCTTGGGCCGCTCCTGGGGCCGTCTTGGGTGCCTCTTGGGCCGTATTGGGCGCCTCCTGGGCCGTCCGGACGCCGTCCTGCGGCGTCTTGGGACCGTCTTGGGGCCCTCCTGGCCCGTCTTGGGGCTCTCTTGGGGTCCTCTTCGGCCGTATTGGAGCGGTCGGGGGGGCGTCTTGGGCCGTCTTGGAGCGTCGGGAAGGCGACGAGGCGAGGAGGCCGAAAACATTGACAAACACAATAGAAATCGACGATTTCTGTCGCTCGGGGCCCTCTTGGGAGGCCTCTTGGGAGGCCTCTACGGGCGTCTTGGACGCCTCGAGGGCCTCCTGGGGCGAATCTCGGACGTCTTGGGCGCTCTTGGGCTGTCTTGGGCCGTCTTGGGCCGCTCCTGGGGCCGTCTTGGGTGCCGCTTGGGCCGTCTTGGGCGCCTCCTGGGCCGTCCTGGGGCCGTCCTGCGGCGTCTTGGGACCGTCTGGGGGCCCTCCTGGCCCGTCTTGGGGCTCTCTTGGGGTCCTCTTCGGCCGTCTTGGAGCGGTCGGGGGGGCGTCTTGGGCCGTCTTGGAGCGTCGGAAAGCCGACGAGGCGAGGAGGCCAAAAACATTGAAAAACACAATAGAAATCGACGATTTCTGTCGCTCGGGGCCCTCTTGGGAGGCCTCTTGGGAGGCCTCTTCGGGCGTCTTTGGCGCCTCGTGGGGCCTCTGGGGCGAATTCGGGCGTCTGGAGCTCGTGCGGCTGTCTTGGGCGTCTGGGCCGCTCCTGGGGCCGTCTTGGGTGCCTCTTGGGCCGTCTTTGGCGCCTCCTGGGCCGTCCTGGGGCCGTCCTGCGGCGTCTTGGGACCGTCTGGGGGCCCTCCTGGCCCGTCTTGGGGCTCTCTTGGGGTCCTCTTCGGCCGTCTTGGAGCGGTCGGGGGGACTTCTTGGGCCGTCTTGGAGCGTCGGAAAGCCGAAGAGGCGAGGAGGCCGAAAACACCGAAAAACACAGTAGAAATCGACGCTTTCTGTCGCTCGGGGCCCTCTTGGGAGGCCTCTTGGGAGGCCTCTTCGGGCGTCTTGGACGCCTCGAGGGCCGCCTGGGGCGACTCTCGGACGTCTTGGGCGCATCTTTAAGCGTGCCGGGGCTCTCCAGGGCCGTCTTGGGGGATTTTTGGGACCCTCTGGACGTGTCTTGGGGCCTCCCTGGGCGGCCCGGAGCCAGCCCGGGGCGGTTTTGGTTCATTGGAGCCTGCACCATTCTGGCACGCACTGGGCCCTGCAATGTAGTAGAGACTAGTGTGAACCCGTGGAAAATCCACGGCCCGCAGGTCCAGGCGTTGGTCCCGCACGCGCACGTGTCGGAAGCGCTGGAAGCGTCAAAATTAATGTGTTTTTGCTAATCGCGCGAGGCCTGGGCGCGATTAGCAGAAACACGTAGGTTTTCAGACACAATCAGAATAAGGGGGCCCGAACGATCTTACATAATCCCTGTGCGCGAGAAGTTCGATGTGGGGGGTGGACGCGTGGGGGCCAGAGTTGGGCGTTACGTTGGGGGGCCTCGTTTGAGGGCCACGTTGGGGGGTCTCGTCAGGGGGTCATGATTGGGGGCAACGTTCGCAGCCCTGCCGGGGGCCATGTTTGGGGGCCGCGTGCGGGGTTCGGGGGCACATGTGACGGTCGCGTTTGAGGGTGCGGGGTTCGGGGGCAGATGTGACGGTCACGTTTGAGGGCAATGGTTGGGGGCTGTGTGTGTTGGGGCCACGTTTGGGGGCGCCTGGGGGCTACGCGTGGGGTTGACGTTCGGGGGCCACGCTTACTGGGGCGGTAGGGGCGACCTTCGGAGGCTTTGTATGGGGGCCGCCTTTGGGGGTCCCGTTTGGAGGCCACGCGTGGGGCCGACGTGTAAGGGGCCACGTCCAGGGGCGATCTCAGAAAGCAGTCGGGGAGCCCCGGGGGCACTGACCTGGAAGCGTGAAAAGGAATGGGTTTTTGCTAATCGCGCTGGGACTGTGCGCGATCACCCCAAACTCAAGCCATGGTCCACAGGGCCCTCGAGGCACGTCTCTGGGGCATTTCGAGGCTGTCGTGGGGGTCTGGCAGGATCGGCTTCGGCTCTCTTGGACGTCTTTGGGGCCGTCTTGGAGCGATCTGGGGGTCCGGGAGCCGTCGGGGAGCGCTCCAGGGGCGTCCTGGGGGCGTCGGGGAGCGGCTCAGAGCTCTGGCAGGTCGAAGCCAGCAGAACCGAGAGAGCAGCGGCGCGGCGCCCGATACAGCCAAGGGTGCGGGTGCTGGGATACGTAGGGCTCCGAACCTGCTGTAGTGGCCTGCGGGCAATGTCGCTGCGGGCCTGGGTAATGGGTAAGAGATCTCGTGGATGTTGGTTAGGATCTCGTGGCTGGTCTCTCGGGAGCCTCTGGGAGACAGTTTGGGGGCTTCTTGGTAGCAGTTTGGGGGCGTCCTGGGGCCTCTTGGGCCCTCTTTTGGGGCCTCTTGGAAGCCTTTTGGGGCGCTTGGCGGCCTCTGGGGGGCCTCTTGGAGCCTCTGTGGGGCGTCCTGGGGCCTCCTGGGGATGTCTTGGGAGCGTCCCGGCGTTTCTTTGGGGCTTCCTGGGGGCCTTTGGGGTGGAGGCCTAACTTTTTCGGTTCCGGGTCCCTGTCTTGGGCCTCTCTTGGGGCCTTCTTGGGGCCCTCTTGGGCTGTCTTGGGCGACTCCTGGGCCGTCTTGGGGCCCTCTTGGGCCGTCTTGTGGCCGTCTTGAAGGCCTCTTGGGCCGTCTCGGAACGGTCTGGGGGGGGCCTCTTGGGCGGTCTTGGAGCGTCGGAAAGCCGAAAGCACGAAAAGGCCAGAAACATCGGAAAAAACAAAGAAAATCAACGACTTTGGTTTCTGCGGCCCCTCTTGGAGGTACACTTCGAGCGCTCTGGGGGCCTCGTGGAGGCGTCCCGGGCCGTCTTGAAGGCGTCTTGAAGCCACTTTGAGCATCTCGGATCCACTCTTGGACCGTCTTGGGCCGTCTTCGGGACCTCCTGAGGCCGTCTTGGGGCGATCTGGGAATCCTGGATCAGTCCGCCAGCGGTCTGGGGGCCTCCCGGGCCCGTCGGGCAGCGGCCCGGAGGCTCTCCGGGCGGCCCGCGAGCTCTCTGGGCGGCCCGGGGCGCTGCCACTGCCTGACCTTCTCGCGCGCGCTTCGCCCGGAATTGTAGTACAGACTAGGGCTGACCCGCGGCCCTCCGGCCGCGGAATATGCCCGCCATGGCTTCGACGTGGAAGAGAAGCCTCTTTGGGGCCTCGCGGGTAAGGGGTGGTTGGAGGGGACGGCGTGGATGGAGGAGGTG